AGAATGATTAGGATGGACTGTGTGAAGAACGAATTGTTTCTACATTAATTCCACTGGATGCACACTGCAAAAGGTGGACATAATTTGATAGCACGGTGGCGAAACAAGACTCTATATTTAATAATGACTCAAATTAAAAGTCTGAGGCTGTGGTGATTTTATCTCGATGGATTCGCTGTTGGTTTTAAATCATATTATAATCTTCGCCTCTCACATAAATACGGCATGTGCCATTTCTTAACCCCCTTAAACCTTCAACAGGTCGGTCTTCTCGGGTGCTTAAAGCGGCTTTATGTCATCGAGTTACACACGGAAAAGTAAGAAACTTGTAGAATACAACCTCCTAAGAATTCGCAAACTGCGATAGTTAGGAGGATTCTATAATGTATGTATTAATAAAGGAATTTGACATCACATACTATACGAGTGCTAAATACTATTGGACTTGTAGCATATAGTTTTAAATATTTGTACGCGAGGATACGCACCGATACAAATTATTCTACAGTTAAAGGGATTCCGGGGGCGTAATGCGAATAAGCCCTCATTAGCCGACTAACCGTAATTTGTCGGCGTGCGCAAAGGTGAGGATTGTTTTCGAGTATCACAAGCGGAATAAAACTCAATTATTTGAAATCTTTCGTACCATCCAATCTTAACTAGGTAGGCAGAGGGGGACAACTCATTAATTTCAAAGAGCAGAGAAGCTATTGTAAATGTGTGTGGATAAATGAACAAAAACATTCGGCGCTGCGGGATTCGACCCTGCGTCTTCTGGTTTTGCGGCCAGACGCTTTACCAACAATGCTAAGCGGCCGATGACATTACAGCGCGAATCTCGAGATCTATCTACGTTCGTTCTTTTGGATTTTTAGCTATAGTTCGCGAAAGAGTGCATCCTTTACAGCATACAACACCTTACAAATAACATTCAACGATGAATATTAGTAACGAGCAGTAATGACCTAATCGCAAATTAGAAAGAGGATCTATAGGATTTCCCAGCTAAAATACAATTACATAAATATGCTGATAAAAATGAGAAAATTGCATTAACAGCAACGAAGGCATACTCAACGTCTGCGTATTAACTCATCATTATTTTCTACAGCAACCTTTGTCAGGCCTAATTCAGTCCAAAACATATATTCTCACATTCGCTATTATTTGTTTGTAAATACTTTTGAATGCGTAGAAGAACACTTTGAAGTAATGTTTAAAAGGAAGCATGTAGACCTTGATGTAATATTTTAAAAACAAAAACTGTTTTTTTAAAATAAACTATTGCTAAATTACCTATTAGTCCATCAGCGCCGAACATGTACAAAGCCATACACTGAAATAAGAAGTGCGTCCAACGCGTTCGGGACGCCTTCAACATTTTTTCCAATTCACGTCATTTGACATTTTCCACAATAACTCACTGTACTAAAAGGGGAAAATTAAAAATGTATTGTATCAACGACCCAACTAAACACTTAAACCTCACTAAACACTATCAGTACACGAATTATAACAAGAGAACTAACAATTAAAAATGTCTTATTTACATTTGCATCGTATGCGAATACGCGCGCAGCATTTTCTAAACAAAACGCCACAACACGACCATTTCGCGTCAAATCTAACACCGTACTGAATAAGTTCAACAAGCTCGAGTTGTAAACGTCGTATTCGTAGTCGGTCGTAGCCCGTAGCATTTGGGAAAGTCCAAGATTGCATCGATTTCTCATAAAAAGTAATTGGTTTTACGATATGGTAAAATTTTGATTGCTTTATAATCGATAATATTTTGTAAAAAAGATCCGTCTATTCAGGTTATGTTCTGTATGTACATTACGCGATTAGTGTGGACAACTATTATATGATGCTGAATACGCCCTTAGTTTAAACAATTTTAACTCCGACTTTTAAATAAAATCTTAAATAGATTATTAGAAACCTCTTATAGAAACCTCTATTTGGATTCAAAAAAGAAATTCTATGGATGTGTGGTCACTTAACGCCTACAATAGCTTACTTTCAACAACGTGATGTTTGAAGCGGTTACCAATATATCCTTCGCAATCATTAATATTTGCGAAAATTTGTTTATAAAAGTAAAGCAAAGTAACAGCCTATACCTGTCCCACTGCTGGGCTAAAGCCTCCTCTATACAGAGGCTATGAGCGCATAGTACCACCACGCGGCCCCACTGCGGATTGACGGACTTCACATATCTTCGAAATATATATATTTTTTGTTATTATTTCGAAAATATGCAGGTTTCCTCACGATGTTTTCCTTCACCGCGGATAAGACAGCACTTAAAGTTAAAAACTTCATTGGTGCCAGCACCGGGGATCGAACTCAGGTTGCTCGAGTATATTGAATTAAAGGCGAGCGCTCGGACACTGAGCTATCACGGAAAATATGTTTATAAATCAACTCATATTTCAATGTGTTTATAATCAACTGATATTGCAATGCATGATGAGGTATTTGTTTATTTTGACAACTATATTATTTTTGCAATTTAACATACAAATAACATACAACCTAATATATTATAATAACAAATTGAAATATTCATCAAAGTAATTTCAAAAGCTGTAACCATTTACTATTACTACATGTTTTGTATACAATACACATAGTTGCTACATCCCCAGTAACCATCGTAGTGCACCTGAATCAATTGTGCAATAACCGGTGCTTCATTCAATAAAATCGACCACCGGCAAAGCGCGGCCCCTTAGTGTCTTAAGAACTTTTGTAAAACCTTTATTAAATACTAGCTGTGCCCGCGACTTCGTCCGCGTGGAATTTAAAATAAAAAAAAATCTAAAATAAAAGTAGCCTAAGTTGCTTCTTATTACATCAGCTATCAGCCAGTGAAAGTCCTGTCCAAATCGGTCCAGCCGTTTCCGAGATTAGCCGGAACAAACAGACAGACAGACAGACAAAAATTTTAAAAAAATGTTATTTTGGTATATGTACCGTGCATTATTATCTATAGTATCCATATGCATTTAGTAAACAGCGGTTATATTAATATTAGAAACAGACAGTATAGATGTATAGATTATTTCATATTAAATCGTTTTTTTAAGATCCTCCACTGCGCAACCTTAGTTATAACTAAATTGTTTAAAAACTTAGAAAATATTTATATTTTCACTCTTGATAAAATCGGATGAATTACTTCTTCCAAAAAGTCCAAGCCAAAATGTCTAAGTAAATCAACTACTGTTGTTGTGCCAACACTCGATTTTCGTACCTATTTGAATTCATCTCAAAAGAAACACCGCTGCTTATAGAGGATGATTCGCATACATTTTCCATAAAGCCTCTTGATATCAAATCGTATTATTTTTAATCATTCTAAAATAGTAATAAAAAGAATCTTAGTTTATTACCAACTGCGGTCCTAAGGCTTATAAAAAGCCCAAGAACAAACTTTGCTAGATGAGGCTTTGGTCTGTATACATTAAAAAAAATATCCGGGTAAACAACAGGTAACAAGATAAGAACGTAGCCTTCTATCTACGTTGCAGCCAAAGACAAGTATTTTTCAAAACTACTATGAACTTAAAATTCTCGCCCAGCAAATCAGAAGTAATCTGAGCGACATCCGCTTTCCCAAATCTCCAAATTATCAGAGTATCTTAGAGTTTCAAAATCGACAGCTCCAATTGCATTCTCACGAAGAGTTGCAGAACTATCGTACCTAAAATCGATATTCGGAAACATTAGCGAAGGTTTGTAGAACTATCGAACTATCGAATCGAGAATCGATGTCACGGTTCGTCGGAAACATTAGTATGGTCGCTTGGCGGGCGAAGGGCCACGCGTTTGGCATTGCGGGCACGCGGCACTTGCGACGTGCCAGGCCGGCCCTTTAAACGAACGAAAACGCCGTCCGTGACAGTTATCATCTTGCTCTATCGATAAAGAAACGCGTTTATTTTATTTTTACGTTACGTGACCATTCGCCCATTATTCGGGAATTTAGTGGCGGACGCGATTAGGGTCGCGGGTACGGGACTCAGTGGCATGCACCAATGCGTTTATTTTTTATGTGAATAGTTGACAAACGAACAGGTGAATCACCTAATGATAGGTGATTACCGCCGCCCATGGACATCTACAAATCCTGAGGAATAGCAAATGAATTTAAAAAGTGGGCTCCGACTGAGTCGCTCACCATACGAAATGCGAAAGTATAGTACTTTCAGTTGTCGCCGATATTCCACGAGGCCGTGGCTTACGTAGACGGGCCTGCCCATTCGTACAACATCAAGAACTGCTTGCTATGTGGCTCTACATAGTTTTTACGTTTTTCATATTTCTAATGTCCATCGGTGCGATGAAATGTACGACGACGTAATAAAAAAAAATAAGAAGGTGTTTGCAAAGGCGACATCGACTTTTTTTTATTCTTTGTTCTTTTCTAAAAACATTGCCCTTACTTTAGGATAACATTGTCTTGTGTGTGTAAGGTCGCTTTGCAAATATAAATTTCACGTGTACAAACACCCAGATGCGAAACAACTATGTGGGTCACACAAATAGTTGTTCCGTGTGGGGATTGTACCCACGACCCTCAACGTCGAAGCCAATACCATGGCAACTGCGCCGCGGAGTCATCGATTAATAATAACACATTAATAGTACCTTTCTGACTTAAGAAAATAAGCTTTGCTCGCCTCACTCACTGAATTCAAGGGATTCTGTATTCTACCTCACAGGGTGATGCTGCCCCACTGCAGTAATCCTTCCTTACTAATATTATAAAGGCAAAAGTTTGTATGTATGGATGGGCTTTTGTTACTCACGCAAATACTACTGAATGGATTAATGAAACTTTACAATAATATAGCTTATACATCAGAATAAGACATAGGCTTTAATGTATACATGTTTTATGTATATCTGTCTTTTTGTATTAATGTTACACCTTCAGCCTATTCTACGCAGACGTAGTCGCGGGCAGCAGCTAGTTACTAACATTTACTTACCATCCAAGCAGGAGTATCTGATGTAAATGAATCCAGGTGACCAATCGATGGATGGCGGATGCGTTTTCTTTAAGATAAAGCTGCAGTGACTGACGCCAGTGCATCTGCGAAAAAATAGCATAGGTCATTAACGTCCCGGGAAAAGCCATAACAAAAACAAAGTGGAGACCAGTAGTGATGGATGGACCTCAAATCTGGCAAATAGCAAGAATGTGTCTTTGTCAACGCGTTTATTTTCTCCTCACGCTGCAACTTAAGCTGCCAAATGGATTTGAATTATATTTGAAATCATATTATTTTAGTTACACTGAACATAACAGATAACACTTAATAGGCCTTAAAATTAAAGGGGAAAATTCTTCAGCGTGTGTTCGCCCACCGTTGGACATACGCCTCTTATTTTTCTCCATTTAGCACTTCGTTTCCCTTGAGGGGGAAAATTAGAAAAATACATAACAAACCTTAATACATATTTTATGTATATTTGTCTTTCTGTCTTTTTGTTACACCTTCAGCCTATTCTACGCAGAGGTTGTCGCGGGCAGCAGATAGTAGCTTATAAAGCCAGCTATTTTATTTAATAACATGGAATGTTTGATTAACTGATATCAACCATTAAACGATATAGATAAACTATTTTTCTGCAGGTTAAAGTGTAAGCGAGATACTTGGCAACTGAGATAGTTGCAGAATTGTCAACTGAGTAGTTCCTAAATATCAGATTATTTTCTAAGTATCAAGATTACTGACGTTACACTAGATGTTATTCGCTAGATCAACTTTTCAAGTAACACTACTAGCTAAACATCTTTATCAGAAGGTTAATAACCTAGTGCATTGTAAAATTGTTGATTGATTAATTTTAATCACCCAAAATTTTAAGCAAAATAACTCTAACCGAAATATATCATGAGTTCTTAAACTAAAGGAACAGATAACCGGAAATGGGATTCGATGGGATTTCACTCATCATACTTTTGAATTAGATGCCTCATGGTCATAACAGTCAACAGAAACGACCAGTAATAAAAACTAATGGCATAGTTTTTACAACAGCCACCGCTCGCTTCAATTATTGACAATGATACGGTCAATTAGTGGAGCAAATGGCTCTGCGGTGGTCTCTTTTCGGTTCCGTACCAAAAGGGTAAAACCTATTACTAAGACTTCGCTGTCTGTCTGTCTGCCCGTCTGTCACCAGGCTGTATCTCATGAACCGTGATAGTTAGACAATTGAAATTTTCACAGATGATGTATTTCTGTTGCCGCTATAACAACAAACCCTATAAAACAGAATACAAAAATATTTAAGTGGGCTCCCATAGAACAGACATGATTTTTTTGCCGTTTTTTTAGGTAATAAATAATGGTACGGAACCCTTCGTGCGCGAGTCCGACTCGCACTTCGCTGGTTTTTTTATACAAACGGCAATTAAAAAAATAACCTATGAAGTTAGACCGTAACGGAATCAATATAGTTTCTTCTATAATAGTTTCTTCTATATATAATAGTTTCTTCTATTCACGTAAAACTAGACCGCAAAGAAGTTGTGACTTTTTAACTTGAGTAATCCGAATAAAAAACAAACAGTCACGCCACTCCATTCAGAAACCGAGACATCAAATCTCCCAAATCGAACTCTTTATCAAGCTAAAAAGTAAAATCGGTCGTCGAAAAAAGCATTAGAATTATTAACCTAACAGAATAGACTATTCACATTTTTCCCCTCTCTTATTTTTATAGTTTTTTTTAGTTTTGTTTTTAGCAGCTTTTGTTTATAGTTTTTTTTTTTTTTAATCTAGTGTAAATTAAGTTGAAAACATTGTTGCCATGATATCGTAGCATGTTGTGTACGCATAGTTTTGTCTGACAGTATGTAATTGTTTACCTAATTAAACTTTATTGTGATGTGTATATTACTGTTTGCTGTTTTGTGTACCGAATAAAAAGAAATCTTCTAGAGTTTATTGAGGCGAATTTGATCAACGCGATGAAACAAGGGCCGATTGACGAATCGGGCTGGTATTAGGGCAGTAAACAACGTACAGTTATCAAATTTACCTTCTAGGTGCAGCAGTACTGCGTAGCGGAATACTATTATAACAACAATACTAAAAAAAAAAACCAAAAGCATCACAAAAAAGTTCAGATAAGAAACCTGTTTTGGCCCCATTCATCGACATTAAAACTACTCATGCGTGAATTTTAAGCACGTGTACAACTGTACACACTGCACAGCCCACTTGGGCAGCAAAACGGAACGCGGGACTTAGCTAAATGGCACCGCTTCCGGGCCGCAAGTGTGTCACGTGCCATCGCAACGCTTCCGAAAACACTTTAGTGGATAAATGGGCTATTTGTATCACTTATATGGAGTAAGTAAGAATGACTAGTAATGCTACTCAGGCCAATTAGAAAATACGCTTATATTTATTTTACAGATGTTCTACTTTGTTACGATTTGTCTTTTTATATAGATTATTTTTATTCAGTATTGTATGTGACAAGATCTTATAGTAAATAAGTTTTCTTATAATTTTCTTTTCTTACTTTGAATGGTTTATAAATATTTTTAAACTGTTGTTATTTTGGAAATATGACTGATATTTTGTTATTATTATTATCTATCATCACTCAGAAGAGGTTCACTGTTGAACTAATTCTTCCCCCTTAGAACACCGCAACGAATGACACTGATATTTGCATACATTTTAACATTTTTTTTAAACTTAGAGGTTGCTTAAATTTATTCTTAATCATTTTTGGACAATCCACAACGTTCGTCAATAGTGCAAATTGGTTCAATGTTGAAAAAACTAAAAACTAAAATGTCGTCAGCCAGTTGTAAGTAATACCCCCTATATTTTATTCTCACAAAATTGTCTAATTTCATCCGTTCGGGGCCGTGTTAAAACGCGTTCGTAACAGCTTCCTGTCGAATATATAGCACGCGCTATCATCGTTATAGAAACGCAAAGAGCGATATTGTAACAAAGCGTGACGCCCTCCCCCTAAATTCATCGATACGGCTTGCAAACGGAATAATTGGGCGTATCTACTAACATTCGCGTGCCCCCGTTTTGCTCCTGTACGGCCTTGGCAAAGCACAAATCGAAGCTTTGTGCCCCAAAAGGGAAATGATCTGTTTTCTGTTGCATTAAACGGTGTTCATTCAAGTTCAGAGTATAGGGAGTCGGTTTTTTATCGACTGCGTTAGCTGTCCGTAACTCAATCTCTCCATTTTATGACACAACTAAACATATTTCATACAACAAACTATCTCTACGGAACATACGATAAGGAAAATCAGTGCGTGTTAATTAATTATTTCGACCACAGTCTACCATAACTTCATGTTTTTGACATGCCTAATTTTGAAGCGAAAAGTATTTTAAATGCTTTTCAATATGTTACTGCTTAACGTAATAAAAGACGTGTACATGTTACATTTCTGGAATAATATCCACTGAGACCAAGGAGTCAACTGGGGAACGGTTAGTAGGTACAAGCAAATTTAAGTCCCAGTACTATTTATAAAACTACAATGCTACTTTATGAACCATACAACTAAAAAACTGCATCAAATTCGCACAAGCTAACGCTAAGATTTTAAAATAGCTAACGCTAATGGAGTGCAAAGGAGAAAGAATTTAAACGTAGAAATCAGATGCATTCGTTAGCATTCATTGAACGAACTCAACTGCCGTAGTTACGTAAGTATGTCGAGAGATATCGCTGTTCCTTTGAACACCATTAAGCCTATACAAGAGTTCATACTCGAAGTTTATAAAAATATTAGGTAAAATTTTAGCAGGCTACTACTTCGACATAGCAAAGAGAAAATTACTATAGTAAAAAACAGTAACCAATTAATGGAATGTATGAAATTTAAAAAATATATTATTTCATTATTAAATTTCAGTGTTCCATGCGCTTCGCCAGAACACTCGCTATGTCGCCCTTGAATTCAAATTCAACACCCAGGACTTTTGTTCCACTCAGGACCGACGCGAGGTTCTGACTCCGCCTTTTTATGTTCACTCTAGTTGTAAGGACCACAAGACCACATGGAGTCTTGTGATTTTTCTTTATAGTTCTCTATTATTTAATTTTTTTTTTGCTTGCTCTATTGAAGTGGTAACCTGATAAAATTTCACCAATTTATCTTCAACTTAATCAAAAAATAGTAAAACGGAACTATATAACGCTTAATAATCTTGGCCTAGTTTTAGCAGCGTACCATTACTGATAATTAATTATAAGTAAACAACTGTACCTTTATGGACATTGGATAATAAAACGAACAATGATGACCAATAAGAGCAAAGTTACAAAACGCCATGTTCTAAAATAGGGATCCGTCTATATTTTTTATTATTTTTTTAGGACACATTTTTACACAATATAGTCTAATAATTGAAAAAAAATTCTGCTTTGCACGTACTCTAATTTAATTTTGATTCTATACATAATTTTGTGCCAAACGTTTCAAAAGGATCAGAAATTTAACAAATATATTCAACAACTTACAAATTCTGACATTAACTTTTTATAACTCTTAATATAAACAAGTGTTTTCATTCACCTCTAGCTACCACAGAATAAGCACGTATTTAAAGCATGCATACGTAATACATCCGTGTACGAATATATCGTGTCAACAAAGCGAATTACTCGTGAAAACCAACGTTACGTTAACAAACCGCAGTTCCGTAGAGAACAGCAAATTAGACGAAGCAGGGGAGTGTCTTGAACACGTAATGTTGCGCATCGAGATATGTACAGCAATGACGTATTCTTTACATAAAGTAAGAATGCACAACGAACCATGACAATTTTTAATAATAACATAATAATTTTTCCATCCATATTCATTTTCACCTTTGTACTTGAAATTTCTTATTATTTGTTTGATGTGTCACCTAACATCAAGTACCTGCGACATTCTTACATAAATAAAAAAGTGCTACTTCTTTTCTCACCCTTTTAAATACTCTATTTACATGTATTATAGTGTGTACGCATCGTATAATATTATTTAAAGCGGTAGATACTTAGAGTCCTTACGTAATATACAGCTTCAGAGTATATTGGTTGAAACCT